ATGTCAAATACCACTGGCATACCTAGGAAATAATTCTTGTTTCTACATTTCGCTTTGCTTTTAAAAACACAGACTGAAGAAAGCAAGAGAAAAAAAATGCTCTGCTTGATTTATGCCACCACGCTTTTAGCACTGTTGACTTACAAACCCAGAGTAAGAAGCAGAAATAGCGCGAGAAAAGCTGGAATTCTCGACTCGCGTTTTTTTCCGGCCGCATTTTCGTAAGCGATTTATCTGAGAAGCCATCGTACATCCATCTTCACGTGCATATCCCCTGTTGCCACCGCGTATTAATCTTTCAACATTTTTACTTTATTGGATTTAATGGCATTTGATGTTTATTTCGCGGCGAGGTCAACGACCCGTTGAGTTGAAGAATGACTCCGAAAACAGACAGCTCAATCTGAGAAGTTTGTAAAATTGGATTTAACAAGCTTGTAAAACACTTTCAGCGTGACAACAGATAGATATTTTGGAGTAATGTCAAACTTTCGTGACAACAAAATAACAGACTGTGTCTTACAAATTATTTTTTATTTCATCAGATACCAAACTGCGAAAGTATCTATCTATAACTAGAGTTAACTTAGTTTTGCAATTTGTAATTCGTTCGAATTTTAAGTTTTTCCGAAATAAACGCTCAGTGTCTTTATGAAATTTTTTACGACATCGAAGAGTGACACATAGTACGATGTGAAGTTATCCTTATAAATTAAAACGTTATGACCTTAGTATTCATATAAAAATGCTTAACGCATATGGATATGGCTTTCTTAGTTCTCTAGCTCTTTGTGTTTAATGACTGGTTTAGGTTGTTAGTGTTTAAAAGGCAAAAATTAAAAGGTAAAATAAAAATTCTCAGTAGACTTCTGAGATAAAAACTGAGCAAACTTGTAGTAACAGACAAAACTCAGCAAACTTGAGTCGTAACCATATTTAGTATTGTGAAGGTTTATTTATTGATTTTTTTTATAAAAATGGAAAGCATGAAAACAAACTGCAAGATAAGATACCGCTTATGTCAGAATGCAAATATTAGTATTTACTATCTTTTACCACCATAAACTGTATCAAATATTTTATACAATGTTCTACAGATAATACCACACAAACGCTTGTATTATTCAAATGGTGAGGATAATAGTAAATGAATTGTAAACAAACGTAAAGATAAATACATCTGCATAAATTAGCCATAAAGCATGCTAGCTATTTATGCTTTCTGCTGCCTGTATTGTGATGAGCTATGTATCTACTTAAAACGGCATATGACATGTCATCAACGCCTGAACAGTTCATTAGTCCATTAATATCAAAATTTCATAAAACGTAATATTCTATGTTTATTTTTGCATTGATTTAGGAAAATACGTTAAGATTAAATAACACCATAAGTTTAAATTGAAATGCTTTAAATTAAGCTGGAATTGCTCCCAACAGGCAGAAAAATCTCAGTGAAGAAACTCAGTGGCTTGATATTTTAAGAAGATGTTTTAAAACGCAACAATTTTTCTAAGTCTCTATTATGAAAATGAAAGTAATAATATATGGGAAAAATATTTTTAACAATTGTAGTGCTTCATCAAAGTATTGAATAGGTTAATGCGGTAAAGATTGTATTTATCATAAAGCAAATCATATTGATGTTGCTTCTACGAGTATATAAGCGCATGAATTTTTGTACCCGTAAGAAAGAGTTGTTTCACACTATCTATTCATTTTGAAATTCTAGTATGTAAATACGTAAATTAGAACATCAAACTTAATTTGTATTCTATAACACAATACTGATATTCACTTAAGGCACTTCATCTTGGAAACAGACGACCTAAGCGTATGATATCCATGAATATGATATCCATGCAGTATTATGAAAATCTCTTGGTACTGTATTTTAATCTCAGAACTGTCTCTCTTTTTCCTTACCATATTATACGTGCAGCATACAATACGAGTACATCCTCGCATAGTATGCAAAATAGGCATCATTTTGCTGTTTACGTACTGACAAAGCTTCTGGTCATCAGCGGGTAATTAATAACTAATGAAGTTTTAAGAGATACACTCATATGCAGTTATGCTGTTGTCCTTTACCACTATACAATCCGAAAGACAGCTGTATAGTTACAATATCTGACACGCAACAGCGTTTTTAATCGTATTTTAAGAGTAACCTTAAGAAGTTCTCATCTTTTATTTTAACTAAGGGCTCAAATTATAGAGTATATGTTTGAACAGGAAAAATCACATTTTATTGCCGATATGTTTTGTTTCATCACGTGATTTAATAAAAATCATAGTTTTGTTTCCTTTTTACAAACACTATAGAGATATTAGGTATTTTTTGGAAGCAGGAGAAGTATAAAACGAGCAACGCCTTCGCCGGGAATCGAACCAAGAACCTCTGGAATACGCGCAAAGGTGCAGACCACCACACCACGAAGGCACGCTAAGAAGGCGGGAGAAATATATTATAACACTTTAAAAATATTTTTGAATGTTGGCTAGTAATAACTACGGCAGTAATTTTACCCCGCAGAAGAAGGCAAAACTTGAGAAGCAATAGAAAATAGATTAAGAAATTTCGTGAAATATTCGCGGTTGCTGAGCATTTATTTGTATTAAAATGGATATATATACATATTTAATGTGTAACAGTAAATAATTAAATTCATGCACACTTCAAAATTAAATGGGAAAATTTTAAATTTATAAAAATAATATTAACATTGAAACTGTTTGTAAAAAAACTATTCTGGAGATTATTTGCTGCATAAATTACGGTGGGAAATAGTGGTTAAGCTATTTAAATTCGAAAAGTAATCTAGTCTAAATGAAAATTAAAAAAAATATAGGAAAATTCTAAAATCTGCGGATATACTTACTATTTAGGAAACAATTTCCTATTCGGGAGATCAAAGGTTCTCTAAAATTCAGGAAACGTGTTATGGAAATTCACCCTGCGATGAATCGTGTAGATGCTTCGATCGTTATTAATAAGGAAAGAAACAATAATGCTGAAAGACGATGCTTAGTGTTCTCAAAAATATTCTCACGAAGGACTTTTTTAATTTTTTGTTTAAATTTTCTTTTGGCTTACCATAAACTGTTGATTTAAAAAACGTGTATGTAATACCTGAAAATTCTTTGACTGACTGTACTCAAGACAGTACTTAGCCAAATCTTTCAGCCGTTACTTATTGCATACCTCGAAAATGATCTCTCAGCAAATTGTCAAATTAAAATTGCCAACACTCAAAATAACTCTTTCTTTCTTCATTTCCCAGGTGTGAGAGGGTTAATTAAATCAAATAGAGGAGAATGCACAAATGACGATCTTTAGAAAGAATTCAGAGATAAAATGAAAGTGATATACCCATATTTAATGTCCGTTTTCGTTGCTCATAAAGCCAGAAGAGACACCAGTCAGCTGTGAAGTAACGCTTACTTCAGTTAAGAATATCAACGCAGATTTATATGTTTCAGTCAGACATGCAAGCTAAATTTTATAAATTTTCGTGTGCATTATTTAAAAAGTATTTAAATTCAGTACTTTTATAGATTAAACAACTTTTTATTAATGCCATATTCCCCGCCTTGTTTTGTCTGATAGCTTTATGGTCAGCCTAAGTTGTACGAAGTGCTCTCAAATACGCTACCAGTAAGTAGTATTAAGAAAGTTAAGTCAAAAGTGAAAAAAAAAATGTACTACTTCATAGGCTATTAGCATAAACGAACGAAATCCAGAAATAAATTGCATTCTAAATTTCTCTTTGGGTGCCATTATAGTCACAAACATTGAAAAGTTACTAAGTTCCGTCTCGGACCTGAAAATATTTTTACACGGAATTTGACCAAAAACAATTTTTTGTAAAAAGATTATTAAAATGTTATTTGGATTTTCATGTATAATATTTCTAATAGGAAAAAATTGACGGAAAAAAGGCCAAAAGTTCAAAATTCTGCAATGCTAGACAAGCTGAAACTATCCAGATAGCCAGAGTTTAGCTTGAAGAAAGACCAATTTGGCGACTCTTATGCACTGAATGTTAAACGGCACGTCAGTGAAAGAAGTTTTCAAAGTTTTCTATGGAGTGCAAAAGCTCTATAACCGGAAGTAATGAAAAATCTTAATCGCGTCTTTCCGTCATGTTGAAAATAAGTATACATTTAGCACAACAAGTTGACCTTTTTATTTATTTATCTTATTTTTTTCGTAAAGATAGCCTACTCGAAAGAGCTTTTTTTTAAAAAAAGTTATTGTTTTTGTTTCAAATTTTGGCTTCATCCATAGCTTTGATGTAGAACCTTCTAGAAGTCTGAAAAGGGGAGAGGGAGAAAAGATGGATGATGTTTACCACCTCATCTGCCGGATTTACAAAGTTTTTAGATTTATCCAAAGCAAGTTTAAATAAGCTTAACTAGAAAAGTATTTTTTAGTTGCATTTATTCACAAAAATAATTCCTTTTTATTTTGAAAGCTTCAAAAATTAATGGAATTATTTACTTTTCAAGTAAATGGGTTATGTAAAATAAAACTGCATAATATAGTTGCGTTAGTTTTCTATACAAAATTTACGATTATTTCAAATTACATATTCTCTCACCCAAATAAAAACAATAATAATTAAAATTAAATTAATTGTATTTTAATGGATGTTTTCAGTTCTGTAACACAAATATTTCAAAGACCATGCATACAATGTATTTCCAAAAGAATAGCGAGAATGATATAGTAATTAAAATCGAAAACATCTTGTAAAATGACTTTATTTTCTATTATAGAAAAGCACCTAGTGGTAAATGCAAACATAAACAAATCCACGTAAGCTTCAAGAAGAATTTTATACTGTCGTTAATTTAGTGAAACTCATTAATTAATTGAAAATTTCTGTTTGTTATAAAAACCAATTTCTTATATTAGATTAAAAGTAATAGATTTAAGTTAAATAAACTTCTCGATTTCCGAACTATTATTGAATTTCACATAATTCAATTACCTGATTGATTTGCTCGAGGTGCAGTTCGATTTTCAGCTGCGCTTCTCGAAGTGCTTCTCTGTCTTTGTGATGGTATGGAGTCACCTTGTAGAGTCTGTTCAAGAGCAGAGGATACCTGTAAGCAAAGATCGGATAGCGATTAAATTCTCGAAGGGAGAAAGAAAATAATCCTTACTCATTAGAATAATCACATATGCGAGTAAACTAATGGCTACTGTTTCTTAAAAACTCACTTGGTGACGCGTTGTACTGGAACCATAAGGAAAGCAGAAAGGTTCATTCTCCTGAGAAGAGTGTTTTCCATCTGCGAAACTCTCAGAAAGATCCTCAAGAGTTCCTTTTCCTTCTCAAGGTTCGTTAGAAGCACGGAAGCCGAACCCTAAGGTGAGGAAATATTCAATGATTTAAAATGAAAATTAATAATTCGGCTAATTAACAATTCAGTCCTTTTTTATTTTTCAAATTAAAAAGGATTTTTTAAACTAAACTAGGCCTTTTTTGATGCAGCTGACTTCAAAGAAGTTAAATATAACCTCATGAGACCCTCTAATGTTAATCAAAAGAGATTTGCAATACACATATTCATGTCTAGCTTTGGGAGAAGCATTGAAAAGTTTCAGCTTAGTGTCTTGCGAAGCTGACTTTGGCTAACATTTTATTTTGTAAGTTAGTCTTCTTTCCTTAACTCGTGAACTTTTTTTCATTTTCGCCCACTTCTCTGAACTATATAGTTTAGTGCCTAACATAATATTAGCTCGTGTGTTGTTGTTTAAGAGTGTCTGTGTCATATGCTATCATTTTAAGTGACCGATATTCTTAAAAAAATTCAGTATTGTATCTATGGAGAAGATATACGGGATAATCCGTGAATCGTATTTGGCATAACGGTATAACTTTCTCTGTTATTCAGTGCAGGGTTAAAATGTCTGAGAGGAGGAAAGAATAAAATTTGATGAAATGTTCTCTTCACAGTTTGATTCATCAAGTGAAAAATGGACAAGGTAATATTTTTAAAACTTTAATTTTTAAAATGCCTTTTCATCTGGAAACAATAAGCTCTACTTTGGTCTCAGAGTGCAGTAGTAGAGAAATTAGAAGCAGAAAATAAGCACACAATAAACTCAACTCAGTCACGAAACTGATACCATCTGAGAAACAAACGAATCTTATATTAATTATTTCTTAAAAAGACAAGAAATGTTTCTCTAATTTGATTTGGAATTTTATTACTGCTCAAAATTATTTTATGATTCCTTCACTAAATCATCTTCGTGCATTGTACATTATATTCAGGGAATTTTTATATGTTAATTTGAATCCTTTCATGAATATTTGTGCGTGAAAGAATTAAATTTTCTGAGAATTAAATTTTGTATATGTAATAAGGATACATGTTTTTCTAGCAGCATAACAGCACTTATATAAATACAAGCACAAAAAATGCAAGACTGTACAGAATTTCCTAAAATATTTTTAAATTAGAACTTAAGTAGCACAGAGATTTTCAAAAAGGAATTATTTTTAAACATACTTTTTAATGAAAAGAAAATCTTCTTCCTGTTTAAAAAATTTCGACAAAACTACAGTATTCTGAAAAACCTATTCACCGAATATATAACTATATTTTTATTATGGTATACAGTTGAAATACCTCTATTGCGCCGCCCAGACGGAAAAGAAGTTAATGACTCTGTATGATGATGTGATTAATAATTAGTTTGTGGTAACTAACTAGTAGAACTCTGCTGCCCAGATGAGAAAGTAATTAGTGACTCCGACTGCCATACCGAAGGGCTTGGGTTCCGATTCTAGAGAAGGCATGGATGTAAATTGTCTGTCTCTTCATAGGAGGCAACGGTGGCCCATTTATTAGGTGCCCTCATAATAAAGTGACCACCGCTTCCGACCTTAGTAGTGGCTAATGCCTATCACGGCGATTGCTCTTAGAAATGAACATATTCGTTACATGGTTTCACTTCAGATTATTTCAGTTTAGATGAATAAGTCTACGTAACCAAAATATTTATCAAAAAGCACAAACTCTGCAAACTCTTAAAATATATATAACATAATTTGTATAATTTAAGTTAAAACTGCTTGAAGTAACTGAACTTTTAAAATAGAATCTTTAGAAAATGTCAACCTAAATTAGTGATAAAATTCCTTTGAACTTATTTTTACTTTTCTATAAATATAATATTTGTTTAAAGGATATCCTGTTTTATATCATGTTCTTTTACTTTATTATCAACTGCACCACCTTCTTTGCACAAAACAAAAGAAAACAAGTGTTACATGACTGCGACATGCTCTTCAGCAGCTAGTACTTTGAACTTTTTTCCATGAATGTTTTCAAATATGCATATCTGTGTTTATTTGGACTACATTTCCTAATGGTTATTTTCAGCAGAAATGGTCTTTTTATGAAAGCTTAAACAAAAATAGGTACAAAGAAAAGTTGTTTCCATAACCTCGAGAAACTTACAAATGTCTCCGCCTCTCCGGAAATATACCTGATGGTTAGGTTCATTCTTAAAGTTAAACATGCAAGGTCAGCTTTCGCTTTTCCCAAAACGCAGTCAGTTTATTGAAAACGATGAAATGTTTTCAAATTTTTCTCGCAGATTCAAAATATTAAAAGATGCTTGAAAACAGGGAGCAAATTAAATTTGTTGAAATGAAAACATATTTCATTTTAAAAACTACAAATTATGTGGTTTTTTTTTTATTGAAATGCCTTTCAATTTCATTGGTTACCTATTTGTTACAATTTGAATGTAAAAACTGACTTATGATTGTTCGGAAAATAATTTCTTACACGGCTACTTCAAAAATGTGTCATGCGTTGAATAATGAATTAAAACGTGTTAAATGAAGAGTTAAAATAAAGAATGAAGGTCGAAATACTTCTCAGTGACAGACATTCATTAGACAGATAAAATGCACTTAAAGGTAACAAGTGCTGCTGATGTTAAATTTAGGTTTAACTAAACCAAGTAAAATATCCTCTTCAAACTGAAAATTTATGTTTACGACAAAACTTTAAAACATTTTAAAAATGAAGCTTACTGTTATGACAGCTTTGAGATAAGATTCATTTAATAAATGCTCGCAAATGACTCTTGGTAATACATTTATACTTTATCTGATATTCCTTCTATAAATTTCGCTGCATTTATTTTGTTTTCCTGAATAATATGAATTTAGAAACTTTCAAAATACTTTAAAATCTGTTTTAATAAATATTAACACTGTATAGTTATGTTTTCAACTCTAGAAATAGAGTAGCATTTTAAATTTCTATAAGTTAATTTTGAATTTGAATTTTAGAGGTAGTCTTGATATCAGAATATAAAACCAAAATAGGGATAATAAATTATCTGTATGTTTAAACATGTATAATGTAGCAGTCGTATTTTGATTAAGTATCTTACAGCAATATGTTAAAATTCTGAGCGTATTAAGAAAGAAATTTAACATATGAACTACTATTTCAACTTGTCTTCTCTAAATAACATATTTGCTCATTAAAAAAACTTATTCTTTAAAGATTTATTTTTAAATGAAAGAGGAATATTATGAATCCGCTTATCTGTCTAACTACCTACTTATCTATGATACGTTTGTGTAACTATATCAATTTAAATTATATATTTAATAATGAAATCAACATTAAAAAATTCCGATTTATGTAAGTTATTAGCTTATGAAAACTGCTTTTGTAATGGAGGCAAATTTGATCGACTAATACGAGTTAGTTTGATTCTGTCCCTTTAAAATTTATCGTTTTGAAATCTCAAATTCAGCTCAGATAATTATCTGAGGTTCTAATGTTACATAAATCACTGGCTCAAGCAGACGTTTTTTCTATGTTTATATTTGAAAGGCTGGTAGAAGCAATGGAAGTTTTTAATGTATAGTAAAACTAATCTGCATTTTTACTGCTAAAATATGTTTTCTGAATAAAGTTTTATTTGTAATGAAAACATTTTATCTGCTGAATAACTTATTGGTTATCTTACCTGTCTAATGCAATAAACTTCAAAAGCTCGAAGCATTGTTGTAGTCTCCAGAAAGATCTTTCCGATATTTACAGTAGTGTAATCCTGAAAAATGCAATATAATTTGTGAAACGGAAATTTATATTCTGATCATCAAATGCCTTTTAATTCTATCAGTAAAATTTCAAAGTAGTTTATATTCTTACCTATTTGAAATTACTTCAATAATCGGGTATAATAATAAAGAGAAGAAAATAAATACTGGCATTTTTTTAAGAACCAAACCATTCTGTACCAGTCAGAAGAATCTTTTATTAAATAAGTAATCTATACTATTAATATCTATGCGCTTCTGTCTGTTTGTTTGTTTATAGCAACAGTTCACAACCTTTTGACTAACGCCCACCATCTAAACAAAAATTGAAAACCTTTAGTAACACCACTATTTTCCATTGATTATTTTTCAATTTCTCAATAGAAATATTTAAAAAAAATACATATTTTGCCATTTTCACAACCTGTTGGCTATTTGTATTAAAGAAGCACTCATAAAAATATCAGATTAAAAATGGTTACCATTTTAATTATCTTTAAGATTTTAATTAAAGTTATAATACTTTAATTATAAAATTTAGTGGGAATTCGGGCCTGTTTAAGAGAGATCAATTTCTTTATGACTGGTCTTATTTCATTTAACTTTTACCGTAAATTAGGATGCACTTTTAACTATGCTCTGTATTTATATTTTAAATATGACATGGAAGAAAATCCTTGCTCACGCAAATAGGTTGTACAAAAAGGCAATGAAAATTAAAATTTAATAGCTTTATTTGAAATGTCTTTAAATTATTTCTTTTCGATTCAACCAAAGTTTGTAAGCGTGTTATTTTTTAAACCTTCAGTTAGAGTTTGATCTCAGAAAATTTCTATTACGTTTGAACAAAATGAATTTCTAATCCAATTTTTGTTTTCATAATCCTCGGAAAAGCACGTGTTGAAATTATTTATCAATGAAAATAATGACTTTTAATGTCAGCTGCTAATTTTCCTTTTATTTTCAAACTATTTTCTGTCAGAAAACTTTCTAAATGTGGTGAAAAGCTTAAAATATTATTATCCAATTCTTTTATTACTAGCTCGAGGTCTTTTTATAATTGCATTTATTTAATTTCTAATGGTAAAAAAATTAACACTTTGTTCTTGTAATACTAAATTTACCTCATTTAACGTTTCATAAATATCTGCTAAATATGCTAAAACGCTCCAACTATAATTCACACACACACACACACACACACACACACACACAAAAAAAAAAAAAAAAAAAAAAAATGTAAATCATCACTTTTCCGCTTAGTACTCCTAGCCTTTTTTCGAGTTTGAAAATCTAGGTTTGCTTTATTATTTTTTTACTAATATTTAAATGCACAATATATTACGAGTTCTTCAAAAACAAACGATGACATTCTCCAATCGCGTAAAAAAGTAAAGAGTACAAAGCAAGAAGAAAACAAAATACCTGCTATTGAGACAACAAATTGACGTAAAAAAATATGCTTCTAATTGAAAATAGAGCAATATGAGCGCGGAAATGGTGGCGACATAAAGTGTAGACATTCTAATAAATCGATCAATTCTAAAAGAATTGATGGGATACTATTATCTTTTTACAGGAACTTGTTTTTATTTCCTATTAAATACAAAATCCATTTCCATTACTCATTTTAAAAACATCATTTATGACAAATTTTGTTATATCTATGGTTAAAAGAATATTTGTGAAAATATTTTGCTCAAGTCCTTAAACTCAGATCGCATAAATTTGCGAGTGTTAGAGCAAAAACTGTAACACTATGTTAAAGTACTTAATTTTTAAATTTAATAGTTAAAAATGTTTTGTTCCTTCGCGTAGCACCAATTTTTTTCTTGCGTACCGCCGGTTGAGAACCTCTGGTTTATAGCATTATCTTCTCGGAACAGCGAAGAGTTGCATTTCGAGAGAGATACCCCAGATTGCCAAAAATTCGTGGGAAGCGATTTCGACCATTCTCTACTTTGTACGACTGTAATTAGCCGATATATTAATTAAAAACTCTGAAAACGCTCATTTTCGCTCTGATTTCTCCGAGTGGCAACAGTCCCGCATGCTAGAGGGAAAAATTTGCTTTATTTCGAAGTGCTGCCACTACGCGCTTTCAAATGGTAGAATTTCTTAAAAAAAATCTGTAACTTTTACAAAATATAAAATAAAAATACCATTTCTAAACTTCAAATACATAATTATTATATAAGATCATATTCTGACGTTGAAGAGAGCATGCGACAGCATGTGACGTCATTTATGTCGAAAATTTTCTCTTGATGTCAGAATTTTAGATAAATAGCTGCTGTTAGGAACTTTTTTGTTTCAGGTTAAGATAATTGTCATGGTATCTTATTGCCACGTTAATTCTTTTATTGATATTGAGAAAAAGTTGTTATATTACATTAAATTAAATCATGACGTCATATGTATACGGATTAACCTGATGTATCAAAAGGTTTTGTTTTCTGGTTTGGCAACAAATAAATTAGCTAGGAATTGGTTGTTGCTTGGAAAGAATGATCTGATTCCATTCATATTGAAATGTTTTTATACATTTTCTTTTCAGCTGTGCATAGAACGTATACATTTTGCTTTGGCCACAGCCTGCTAGTGTATTTTAATCTATGCCAGTTAAATTTGATAATAAGAACTAAAATAAAAGCTTTAACTATTAAAAATGCGTTTACTGCTCGTAAATAGCATCGTTAAGTAATTGCAGATTGATTAAATTCGAAAGACAAATGCATTCTGCCTTTTGCTGTTTCTACAGTTTGATCTTTATTTCATCAAATCGCAAAACTCTGAATGTTGGTTATGCGTGAGACGTATATATTTACCAAGGCAACAAGCTGCTAAATCGGCAGTAGCATAACGTAACAGGAATTCCAAAAATTTTGGAAAAATTTTGTTAAGAACCTTTTTTACAATAGTATATGTAAATCGTAGCCTCTACTAAGCTTGATCTAGCTCTCTAAATTAGTAAGTAATGTACACAATAGTGCTGTTGGTGTTTTAAACCTGTACAAAAATTAAGAAATATAAATAAAAGCAAAATAAGAAAAATCAAGCTAAATATTTAATGGGGAACACCTACAGCTCAAAAACTATTAATAAAAATCAAGTTAAAAGTTGCAATGCAGTTGCAGGGATCACAACATAAAATTCACTGTCAATAATGAGAAGCTCAGTGTTTAGCACTTAACAAGTGAAGCTCAGATTTAAATTCAGAACTTAGTCAAAGCAATGGCTAAATAAACTAATTAGCTTTCTCTCTTTCATCTATTTGGTTCTACGAGTTACACAATTAGTAAATTTAAAATAACTTACCACTGCAGACTCATTATCATTGCTTCTGCTTACTAAATCCGCTGAGAGGCAAAAGCAGACACAATAACTCGCAGAAACTTCAGATAGTGAAGAAACCTCGCTACTACATATCATATCCTATATCTCTTGACGCCCGCTGCGTCTTCTTAAATACTCATTAAATCTGCCTATTTCTGGACAAAGTGAATTAAAAAGGAAATGCAAACGCAGAAAAACTTGAAACAAGAACTGATTAATTAAACGGAAACCTTAATAACACTTTTTTTGAAAAACCTGTTATGGCAATGACTCTAAAACCAATTTAGAAGCTTCAAATAAACACAGAAATATGGTAGCATTGTGTATATAGGTACAATATATGGTAGTAAACCTTACACGTCATTTTTTTATTGCTTTGTAAGTAAGTAAAATGAGTATAAGAAGGTGCAAATTTGCTTTGCGTTTCTTATAATTATCCTAAATTAAACTAATTTTTCTGCTTACAGTTACTTGATTTTATATTGTATTCGGATAATATTCCATATATGCCTCGGAACTAGCCGTAATAATATTTTTTTCTATAAAAATCACCCATGCTGCATGAAAAACGTACAGTTATTATATAAAATACTTACTCTTTAAAGGTTGTTTTTAGAAAACAGTTTATTGTTTAAAAAGTAGCAACTGCACTGCTGGCCACCGGAAATGCAACTCCCTGAAGGAAGCATGCAAATAACATGAAATTTACAACATGCATTAGCGGAGGTGAGATATGCAAATGAGTAGAATTTCAGCGCAGACGCACATAACGCGCGCCTTCAGAGCGGTATTTAAGGCTTGGAGTTTTCGACGATTTCAAGTTTGGTAATTGTGTTTCACTTGTGGTTTTTTCAAAAAAAAAAAAAAAAAAAAAAAAAAAAAAAAATCTGATGTGTACACCACATGACTTCCTTGTACGGAATATTAAATTATACGCATTTTTTCTTGCATTTTATTTAAACTTATTAGATTGAATTAAACCTACTTCGCCGACAGCGCATAAACCACAATAGAATAAATGCATTCTTTAAAATTCACTTTGTTTACCATAGCGACACTCTGGCGCTAGGTTTACTTAAGTATTATATTTCATTCATATTATAACTCAGAATGCACAAAATGTATATCATTTAAAGAATTATCTAATCGTTGCCACATGTTCTATTCAAATACTATAATAAAGCTAGAACTATGTATAAAAGAAATTTAAGCAAACAAAACAAAAAAGAAACAGTTTTTCACAGACGATTGAGCATTTCTCATTTAATTAATTCAGTTCTCACTTTGCGAGAAGGCAAAAATACATAAAAACTCAAAATATCTACTATATTAAAAATTACGAAGTAAATCTCAAACGCTTATTTCCTCGAAAAAATTCCAGAAAGAATTAAGCATGATTTAATTGGCAATAATAAATGAATGCGTTATCTTTGTTGTTGACGCTTCTGTCTGCAACACCATGATGGTCGGATTCGAGTCTGGAGGCACCGTGGAGAGAGGATGCTGAACAGCTGCGTTATGCACCGCCACACTGGTCCTGCACCGGGTATTATGGTATGGGGCGGTATTGGATATCACTCTCGCACTTCTCTAGTACGCATTGCCGGTACTTTAAACAGCCAGCGCTACATCACCGAGGTGTTGGAGCCAGTTGTCCTTCCTTACCTTCAGGGCTTGTCCACAGCCATATTTCTACAGGATAATGTGCGACACACGTGACACGCATTGTCCAAGGGTTTTTCGTCAATCGCCAGATTGAATTGCTTCCCTTTGGCTCTCTTCCCGGATCTTTCGCCGATAGAAAACATGTGGTCCATAGTTGTTGAACGATTGACCCAGATAACATCCCAAGCTGCCACACCAGATCAACTTTGGCAACGTGTGGAAGCTGCTTGGTCTGCTGTACCCTAAGAACACATCCAAAGTCTCTTTGAATCAATTCCGAGGCGTGTGGCAGCAGTGATCTCCAACAATGGCGGCTACTCTGGCTACTGATTCTGGAAGGAACCACACTTCACAGAAGTCTATAAATTTAATCATTTGATACTTGGTCAGCATGTTATCTACTAAATAAATTTTGTTGTGATATCTCTTGTCTTTCTTGGTGTTGCAATTTGGGTGACCAGCAGTGTATTTTTAAAATTTCCAAACAATAATTATATAAAATACTTTTTAAAAATAAAACTAATTTTTAAATAGATAACATAGGCAAATAAAATATCAACATTTAAAGTCTCAATAGTTATAACTGTTTTCCTTTCTGCTTGGATTTTTACACTTTTATATTCTTATTTATAAGTATGGAAGACAGAGATTATCTAATACCAGCACAGACTGCTTTACCTCACGCCTCAAAAATTTCATATTAAGATGTTAAATAATTAAAAGTAACAAAATTCCTTTTTTTTTTTTTTTTTTTTAAATAATACTTTGTATAGAAAACAGAGCTGATGAAAACTAGAATTAATGTAACATATTCGATTAATGGCATAATTATTCATTAGTTTAAACTTCGTGCGTCTGGTTTAGAAGACCAAATTTCAGGTGCATAAAATAACTTTAGTTTTAATATTTAAAGAAATTTCAGTTCTGTAATTTAATTGAGATTCTAAAGCCAATTCTGAATGAGAACTCACAGTTCAGTCTTGCCAGAAAATGCCGTATTTTCTTAGCTACCATTCGTCCATACATTATTTACGTGTTCGTAATTTGGATTTTAGCCATTTCAAATCCTTCAAAACAAGTTTTTGAGGAGTATTACGAAAGCATTCTTCGTGAGAAATTCAGCGTTTTACAACGATCGTAAACTGGAAGATTATCTTCATGTAAAATTTTACCGTGAAAAATTTTACCGTTACCATTTCAAACATACCATGAAAAATTCTTAACCAAAGCTGATTACCAACTTAAACCTTAGGTTATACACCAGATCAGAGGTCACAACATCAAGCCAGCGCCTTCTTATTCGCTTTTCAAACCCCTCCTCTTGTATTATTTTAAGGTATCTAAATTCCTAAAATTCATAGTGCCGTGAATTTTTATTTCTTAAAGGAGTCAACTAAACTGCACTAGAAAGCTCTTTTAACAGTAGTGTAGAGAGGTAATGTGTGTGTGTGTATCAAAGTAACAAGGCAATTTAGGTCTCTTTTTAATTTCGTTAACTGGGATTTAAATCAATTTTAATAATTTAAGGAAAGCATTTTTACCTTGTCGTAAAGAGTAACATTTGTGTTTTTATTCAGTTTTATTATTTATTTTTTATATCAATTTTAGTTTCAGAATGTGTATTTATAGTGTAGTGTATTCGCTGCTTTTAAAAATTTTAAACGACACAATGTATCTAAATCTTTGAAGATGTTAGCTATAGAGTTTTAATTTTATTAAACAACAAACCATTACAGTCAGAAAATGCTTACGCATTTGAAAACTTTAAATGAATCAATAAAATCAAAAAGAATATCTAATAATTAATAGATAAAATTTAAAGCTTTTGGGCATTAAATACTTTAACACCTAAATTAATTGCGGGAAATGTTTTGCCTTTAATAGTTAGTAATGTCGAAAGCAACCTTCCTTCTTTAAATATAAAGTCCTCTCAAATAATTTCAAGGTTTAACTTAATAAGTTATTTTACTAATTCGGCTGAAAAGGGAAATGACGTATACAACAGTTGTTTTCTCAAAAAATAAGTGCCATAAATTTGGAAAGGTTTAGATGCGTTTTCAAGCTATTAGCCATTGAATATTTTAAATTTATTTATAGTTTTTAAGGTATTTTAAAGGAATGAAATTAAAACGTGGTAAAATGTTAACGAATAACTATAGGCGTGTAATTACTTCAGCACATGCAACAAGGAAATCGTTATATGACAGAATTTATATTCAAATCCTTTGCAAGTAACATGCAAATCAAGTTCATTTAACTCTGTCATATTTTAACTTGCAGTAATTTCTTTTTTTTAAACAATAAATTTCAAAATACTTAAAGTTTTAATTTTGCGCAAAATAAAAATCGCGTAACTCACTTCATCTCCTTGCTCTGTTGCAATATCAATAGCATCTTTAAGTTTTTCTGCAAACTGCCCATTTACTAAAATTAGCTCATCCAAATTTAGAAAAATTCCACTAAGCTGATCTTTCGTCAGGAGACCTGCCACTTCCATTGGCCCTTTGAACTCCTAAAAGAATACATATTTTAGAAAGGTGCTAAAATAAATAATTTTTGTTTCATGTAAAGCAAACAGGATATAAAAATAAAAATGTTAATTACTTATACATTGAGGTTTTAAATTTTGCATCATGATACAAAGAGGCAGTTTTCATATTCCTTTATCGTGAAGCATACTAATATGCTTCACGATAAAGGAATATGAAAACTGCCTCTTCACCTTTCCTTCACAGACGTCTATTGAAAACTACAAATATATTTAAATATATTTCCAAATTTAATACATAAATACTTTGAAATATTCTTAAAATTAAATAGCGTTTTGTTTCCTTTGATTAATTATAAATGATCCTAATATAATTATGAAATATTTAGGATTTCTAAAATTTTCACACTCTACTTTAAACTACCAAAATAATAATTTTTTAAAAGTAAACTCCAAAACATGATCCTGTTTAATAAGCAATAGAAAATAATACTCTAAAATATGCAGTGAAGAGCATTTTAAAAAAGCTTTTAAAAAAGCAGATGAATAATCAAATTTCAAAGAATTCTTAAAATTAGGACATAAACTAGGTTATGGCATTTGGAACTTAAAAAGAGCACGAAGTTTTGCAAGGAACAGAAAGTTTAATAGAACAATACTGAGAGACAATATTGTTTCAGTTTAAGATGATTTTAGAATAGTAAACACATGACTGCTATTTATTGAAATCTACCTATCCGTGACGAGTAATTATTTAAAAAGTAGTTGGAACTAAAATACGTTCCGATTTATGGCCCAACAGATTAATTATCAGAGCTTGGTATTTACTATTTAATAAACGAAAAATAATAATGAATCTTAAATAATAATTAATTTTTATACGCTATTCCTATACTCTTGATTATAAATTATCCTAACGTTAAAAACTAATATTTGAATCCTTCAAAGCAAAACAAATATGCTCTAATTACTGTTTTTTCCAAGGTCTTGTTTTTTATGTAAATTGATAGTACAGTCATTCAAATATGTTTTATAAAATATAAATGTATTTGATGTATTTTATTAACAATTTTTGTTCGAAACAGTTACAAAAGTTTCTTCGTAATATAGTGATATAGCCTACTGTTAAAATAAAAGCAAAAATCCTTCATAAGATATAACTTTGAGAATGAGATAAGTGAGAGATCAAAAATATGCTTTAATCTAGCAGTGCTCTCAAACTCAAATTGCATGCGGGCCAACTGCACGATCTTGAAAGCAGCTGACAGGCCGCCACAATTAAAAAGAAAGATAGAAAAAAAAATTCTCTTAGCAAAAGAAAATTTGTTATTTAAAATTATTTTACTATGTATTTGTCAAAACATACACCTGAAAATAATGCAAAGAAAAAATTCAAATTCATACTTATTTTCTGCCTGAAATCTAAAAGTTGGTATTGGCAAGAAATTTCTGTTGGTTACAGTTTGCACTTCAAACGCATTCACACAATATTAAAATTTTTGGACTGACTGTTATTCCAATAATTGTAATATATTGAAGTAATCACTAAGTGACTTACTTTTATTTAAATTAAAAAGAAATATAGGAATATTTCTCAAGAGGGACAAAACTTGAGAATAAATAATGAAACGTATAATCTTTCTTTTATAGGTTAGATTTTTCTGAGATGACACGAAAAGAATAATATTTTTATGTAAATGATTATAAACTTCTTTCTTCCTTAATATGCTTTTCAGTTACACCTCAGGCGTTTCGATTTTCATAAAATTTGTAATCTTGGAGCAAAAATTACTAGAAAGTATCTTCATCAAACAAATTCAGATATACCAATCGGTAAATACTTATCGGCAATCTGATTATTTCCGTAGACTGATTTATTTTTCATCGACGAAAAAAAAAGTTCACATGTAAATGTACTCTTAAACTAAGCGATTATGCTTATTGTAAAAACTCATAACTGAGAATATTTATTTTTTGAAAACTAATAAAAGTTAATCAAATTTGTATCTTAAAATCTTTGAACAAGATTTATGTCACAGTGTAAATTAATTAGCTCTGTTTTTAGATTTTACGAAGAGTTACGTTCGTTTATGGTAATGAATATAATGTAAAACTAGACTCTAAACCTATCTATTAAACCAGTCTGTTGAACTTGTAATAAATTTAAAATATAGTTAATTAAAGAACATTGAGATTGGGTGAACTTAGAATTACTAGTGTTGATGCACTTCGCATTTTAGTACATTCTGTATATCTTTTAATAGATGAAAAAAAAAAAAAACAAGAATTAAGAAATTGTAGGGGTATTTATACAAGAAATCTATTTACAAAATCACCAAATTTATAAGTAATATTTCGGATAATATTAAGACATAGGCATTTTTTAACGTGTAAATTTATAAAATCAGTCTTACAGTGTTACCTTAGTTAATTCTAATTTATAAATCTATCGATAATATATGCGAACCTCTTTAATAATCATAAGGTCTTTTCCGTATTTAAACTCAGTTTCCACAATTTCTGTCACTATCTCTTTCCTTTCGGATCGTTTTTTATCGCACTTCTTGCACACCAGAGGGCAGCAGCTCACTTCATCGGAGGTGCCGGTTTCTAGTTGCTGATCGCAGTCCGCGCACATTTCCTCCACGTCTGGCTTGTGCCTCCGCGAAATGGTCGGTTTACTGGTCTCACTGCCCACGCCGCTGTCCGCTCTTTCAACTTCGACGTTGCCGAAAGGACGACCATTCTGAAATGTAACTTTTTAGCATTAATATCTTTCCTTTCAACATAATTATAATAATAATAATAACAATAATTGCTATTGGTCGCTTTGAAATCGCTGAGTTTGTTAATCAAAAATTCGTCAAAGTTTTACAAAATATGAAATAGATAATAAAGCAAATTACGGATTCCAAATTTGGGCACCCAGATGCGAGGAACATTGATACATTTATGTAGATTCTTCATTATTTAATTTCTTTAAATATAATGCAGGGCTTTAATATTTGGTGGCAGCAATTTGAAAAGCCAACTGACATTTATCGTGAACTAACGCAAAATGCCAAGACGAAATTAATGGTTCTTCTAGACAAATTTCGCCTTTGGACTAAAAAAACACTAAAACTTTTTAAAGTGTTAATTTTGATTAAGAGAAGTAATTACCTTAATAGATGTTAAATCATCGCTGGAGTTTCCATCATGACTGATTCCACTGCTACTACTAATTGTGCTGGAGTCACTAGAACTGCTGATGTTGCTAATCCGGATTGGATTGTTTCGAACCGTCTGTAAAAAAGCAACGGGATATGTGAATTTCATCATAATTGAAAATAATCAATTCGTCTGTTAAAAATGGCGAGAAAAATAGAACATGTAGCACAGTTTTTTTATTTTACTTACCCTAAAGTTATTTAATTGCAACTTTTTTAACGATAGTTTGTAGAGTATCTTACGTTCATTAGTCAGTTATTTTTATTTTGGTCTTTACAGTAACTTTTCTTTACGTACTCCTCTCCAGAATGCAAATTAGTTTTGAGAGTATTAAAAATATAGGTTTCGAATCTTAATAGAGTGAACTTCCGGCAAGTGTTTTGCTGTTAGTGAAATGGTATTTCAGCTTTAACATTCTTCCTAACCAATGATTTAAATTGCGCGTAGGTAAAATACTTTGAATTTAATTGCTCGTTATCGTTTTTTGATTATGATCTGACAGAGGGTATGCCTTTGATAAAGCCTCGCGATAATCTAATTCCCTTTAAAAATATGCAATAAAGAATAGACACCTCAGGATCAAGATCAGAGACATTCCTCTACATAGCCAGAGACTCGGACTGATACTTGTCAAGTCTAACGTCACTATTACTGTGTAATTTTATTAAAATGTAAATTTCACTTTCATTATACAATGTTTCAACAATTTCACTTTCATCCGTAAAATGCAATTGGATCCAGACTGTCCCCTATATTTTGGCCACAAAGGGTCATATCCCGCAATTCACAAACTCTGATAACTATATAAGGATATTTTACTATTTGAGTTGTTAAATGAACGCATTTGGCATGAAATTTATAATGCGGACGAAACTGGATTGCATTACTGAGCATTACTAGAACGCACATTAATACTGAATGCGAAATAACAGTTGGCTTAAGGAACTGAAGGAATCAACTCCTGTGTTACAAATGTGCAGTATGAACACAGCAATGGAGAAGACAGCGTTATTTATTTACAAAAACAGAAAACATCTATGCTTGAAAGGAGTCAAGAATTTACTTCTAGCTTCTAGCTTTTATTTATTTCCTTTTGAAATGAGACTGTGAACTCAAAAATGAAACAATTATTACGATTAGTGAATTCTCTAGTGCACACACCTCTGAGCTCTTTCTGAAAAATATTTCGGTCTCTTTCTACAAATACAGCTTTTAACATCCAATCTTGGGACCAGGTAATAAAAAAGCTTTCAAATATAATTATAAAAGACACGTCCAGAAAATGTTAAACTGAATTAAATTTTATAAACAGGCAAGCATTTAGAAGGACTACAAGTACGAAAGTCGATATCTCTGCTGGAGGCCACGCGTGTTTTAGTCACTGCAGGGGTTAAATGCTTAAAGTACAATTAAAAACGTTTTTTGAAAATATGGCTTTTATGTAAAAGAAGTCTCAGAAGGATTGCTATAGCTAACGTTTTACATATCAACGAGAGAAGTTATGAGGATTCATTTTTAGAATTTCTGTCAGTTCACAAAAATATTAAGACAATGTATAAAAAATCTCACTACGAAAGTGTTAAAAGAACTGAAGAAACTGACAGCAAAAGTGATGACATGCCATCCTCAATCGAATATAGAAAAACACTGAAATTTCTAAGAATAATTTTTGAACTGAAAAATGCTGATCAGAAAGCTATCAGCAGTTTTACGAAATTGAGAATATAATTGAAAAACTGTTGTTGAGCAATATGAAATAAACACAGATAGAATAGTTGTTTAAAAGAGATAAAATTTTATCAAGAACGTAACTATAAAAGTATTCTTATAAAACATTTGAAACAAAATCTCAAAATTGTGTAAATAGTTTAATGTTAGTATTAATTTAAAATTATTTTATAGTTAATTAATGAATTAATCGTTTATTACTATTTTACTTAAAAAGCTAAAAACTGATATCCCGGTTTGCAGTACACAAATCGCCGTCTATTAAACTTAGACGCTTCATAAACTCAAATGTGCTTGGAAGTGATTTTGATCAGCGTCGATTGCTGCATACCTTCTTTAAACAATTAAACAGCAAATGCATCTATTAAGTCTTGCGATATAACTTCTGAGAAACAAACTGCAAATAAGTGTAAAAAAGAGTTCTTAATGTATGAGATTATAATACAATTACTTTGAATTACTCTTATTATTTCATGCATGATTTTTCATTCATTTTTTTAATAATCCAAGATCTCATGAATTTTCAGTTATTATTTATGGTTACTATATTTTAATATTCATTTATCGTTTGACACACTCCGAACAACTACATTCATGCTATGCTCATGAAAAACTGGCTATACGATAATGAAATCAGTGTTTAAGTTGAATTTGCCTAAATCAGCATTCTTTTTTTTTAGCTCTGTTTCTAACTTTTCTATGCTAGTTCTTTATTCCCAATATAAAGAAACTCAACCCAAAGCCTTCATATCAACACACAATGAGTTTAGAAAACCCGTTTTATTGTCCCGAAGGCTTGTTGTAAAAGATTTACCGGCTTCGACGTCCTTCAGCTAGGGCCAGTTATTACACTGTTTTTCTTCAATTATCTATGTTTTCACCATCCTTCAACTGTGTTTGACTGTATAACAATTTCTGCCTGTATCTCTGATAACTTTGTTCTCAAAAAGAAGTTCAACTCAAGTCTGGCTTGTTCCGCAAGTAAGCATGTAAAGAATGTACGCATTTATTATACCAATTTAAAATACGCACTTCTGATGCTTCTTTCTTGCTAACCTTTGTTTTGGTGCGATTGCAAACATTTTTAGCATGTAAATATGCTACTAGTCCAAAGTTTCAGAGATGCATTCAACGAGTTACAACAGTTGCTTTTACATTTATTTGACTGAGTTCTGGCAGAACTGTTGGTGATTGACTCTATTCAAATTCACTTGAGAGAAACCGATGGTTCACAAAATAAATTAAAATAAAAGGCAAAAGTTATCAAATTCTACACGAATTAAATTTCATTTGCAAGTTAATTGCCGAATAGTAATGGCGAGAAGAAATTTGTTTTAGAGTGACAAATGTTATGCTATAATAAATAGGCTCTCAGTTCTTGATGTTAAATTACTTAACCAGAAATTAATAAAACTTAAAAATAGGGGAAGCAGTGAATTTTTTACACAATTAATGCGTTGTTCATGTCACATCAGCACATTTTGCAGTTAAGTGTGCATTTGGGCATATTAAAATAAGCCAGAGAAAAATAGGCAGTCATGCTATAAAGTATTACTAAAATTCACTTAAACTATCGCCAGTCGTATTTAAAGCAATCCTGAAAAGATATGTAGTATGCTTTTCAGGAAGATTGCATTGCAGAATGAAACTCCTAGTTTTCTAGAATTTTTACTTACTTTGGTCTGAGGAATTTCCTCATCATCATCATCCAAAATATCGTCTTCAAGATGATCAACGACTCTCTCTTTCGCACCTTCTAAGAATTTCAGTATTTCAGCTTTAGAAGCGCCCTCAAAGAAAGAACCTCTGTGTCGTCCAAATGGATTAAAAGACACTGAAATGTATAAAAGTAACATTTATTTTGATTCATTGCAAAGTAATTACATTTTACAAAAATAATTTTACGTAATATTTATCTTTATCCAACAACTAGAACTCCGGCTTTACAAAAAAAATTTTTTAACAGAGAAAAATTAATTAGTTTATTGATTTGCAGAATGATATTTTGCGTAGGTAAAATGAAATTTATTTACAAATGGAATAAAAAATGTGGATATTCATTTAACTCATTCTGTTTTAATACCCATCTTCATTCAATTTCTATTGTAATCAATGAATCAATTTATTTAATAATTCTTTAATACATATTATGGGCCTTTCTAAAGCAAATAATTGCATTTATTTACTCTTTAATATTATCTTTTTTTGGCTAGAAAGTTAAATGATAAAGCAGTCAAATCTATTGATTATCTAGCCGAGTTTTTGACAGTTTTGTTAAACAGATTTCATGAAATCTGAATGAATATAAGAAAACACATAATGTCAAAACAATGAACTTAAAACTTCAATCATTTCAGATTTAGGTATTCAAAATATAGTAGACATTTTAATAAAAATATAAAAACTTCTCGTAATAATCCAATATATTCAGAAACTGAATACAGTTTCTTCTAAAGGGATTAGTAGTTTCTCAGTGCAAATAAGCTGAATATAAAGTTTTTATAGTTGATTTAAGTATTTTTAGTTTAAATTTATGGAATAGTAAGAAATAAATCAATAATGAGAGACTGAGAGAAACAAAAACATATTCTTTTTAACAAAAGGGAGGGGGGAGAATAAAAGAGAAGTTGACTTATTTTAAAAATTTAAATTATGACTTAAAATGACCTATGATTTAAAATGACTTATTTTAAAAGATATAAATTAAAAATTAAAACTAAGATTTATTGAATACTATCTTTCAGATATTGATGAATATCTTAACGTAGAAGATAAAATGCAGTGTTAAAATAAATGAGCTTATAAAGATTCGTGTTGCAAGTATTATAGTTTATTTTAAAGCTGCTATAAACAGAAATGTTACATTTTCCAAGCCATTGAAAGCACTGCATCACAAAATCACCGTAATGAAGAAGGAAATTATCTCAAACGTAATTAAGCTGATCAAACACCTAAACGATACGAGAACGGAAGCTAAAAATGAAGAAGGAAATTATCTCAAACGTAATTAAGCTGATCAAACACCTAAACGATACGAGAACGGAAGCTAAAAATGACATACAAGCGTTATTAAGAAAGAATCATAATAACGCTTAAAATTGAAACACAATTTGCCAAGATGGCGAAAATTCGAAGTCTTTTAAGTCTTTTCTTTAATTTTTATTTATTTATTTATTTATTTATTTATTTTTTTACACTATCTGAGCTCAAAGGCCTTAAGGGTAATCATAACACTAAGTTTAGAAAGATCCCTCAAATTGGATAAAAGACTACCAGTGACCGAGCAGCAAAATCGCTTAACACACGTAGTTCGACCTGGGCTTAATTCCGGGTGAACGGGCTGACTGCACGGCCGTTTCCGAGGTTTTCACATGTATAACGTGGATACGATCCAGTTTCTTTAGAAAGTCCTCTACGAAGGCATCCCTTTCCTTAGGCAGATAGCCGTAGCATGCTTTGCCATAATCGAAAAAACTAAACCGAACTTAACAAATCTTAATAACGTCACTTGTCGACGAGTTTCAGTAAGTCACTATTTAATTAATTCAAACGATGCAAGTTAAACAAAATGATCGTAAAATTTTAGTATATATACTTCATAAACGAAATTAAATTTTACATGTTCAACTACTCAGTATACTAATGCGCAATTGATCCCTAATATTGAATGACCTCAGCAGACTTTGCTTTTGATTATGATGAAAGTAGTTGTAAGTAATAGCCTATTAGAGGAATCCATAGAAGTAGACACACATCCACAGTAATAAGTACTTTATTTTAAGTGAATTTAAAGAACGTCTACGCCACACGAAAGTTCTGAATTTTTACGATAATTAAATGAACTAAATTTAATTAAACGTTTTTACGAGTGCCATCAGTCATCGTCAGAAATTATTTGCAAGCAAATCATTTTAAGAAATTGTTTACTATTTAGGCTCAGTGTATCTGAACGAGAAACAAAATGGATTAAGAAATTTAACAAGTCATTCATAATTAACAGGGAAAAAATTATTTATGAAAGAAAATTCTTTTGGTATAAATAACAGCGATTTCGAATATATCACAGTCTACACTGGTGTGCAAAAATTAAGGACGAGACGCTTTTTTCAATATAACTTTGTACAAAAGCTTTCCAAATCAACACATTTAATACCGTAAGATCCCCAATACGTAAGGACATGAGTAATGTAAGCAACACTTACTAAAAGAGAAATCAGAGGGATAAAAAGAAGCTTTTTAGAAAAAGTAGCATGGAGCGCAATGCGACTGAAGGCCGAAACATCCCTGTGATGGGCGTCCAGCAAGAAACATTCGGTCTTTAATAGGGGATATGATCTCCCCTGACTGCTAGGCAGGTTTCACAGCGTCTGCCCATGCTGAGAATGAGGGTGTCAATGAGTTATTGAGGCACTGCTGCCCATTCGTCTTGCAGCGCCAATCGAAGTTTCGGAATCGTTACTGGTGGTAAGGTACGAGCTGCCAAGCGTCTGCCTAGAAAATCCCATACATGCTCGATGGGATTGAGATCCGGAGATCGTGCCGGCCAATCCATACGTTCAATATCCTCACTCTCTAAGAGCTGTTCGGCAGCTACTGTGCGATGACATGGTGCATTGTCGTCCATGAAAAAAGGAACTGCGGACCCATAGCGCCTCTAAAAAGACGCACATATGGAAGAAGAATCTCGTTAATAACGGGTCCCGTTGACTGAACCTGCGTCGAAGATGTGAAGGTCTGTACGACTACCAAGCATGATGCCTCCCCAAACGAGAACACCGCCACCTCCATACCTGTCCCTTTCAATGATGTTCGAGGGATGATTGCGGCTTCCCCGCTCTCTCCAGATGAGTATGCGATGAGAATTGGTACTCAGACTGAATCTGCTCTCATCTGTAAAGAGTACTCGTCCCCATTCATTGTCTCTCCAATTCCGGTGTTCCCGGCACCAAAGAGAACGCCTTCTCCGATGGACAGGCGTTAGAGGTACACACCGTACAGGACTTCGTGCAAACAGACCACCGCCGTGCAGTCTTCTGGCCACGGTAAAACGCGATATCGGTCGTCCAGTCGCCTGTGTCGTGTGTCTAGCGATTTCTCCCGCTGTCTGCCGCTTATTTCTTCTGGCATGTAAGGCAATATACCGGTCATGTGCGGGTGTGGTTCCTCGTGGACGACCACTACTAAACCCCCGGATAGCTGTTCCTGTAGTTTGAAATTGTTTTCAAAGTCGTGAAACGATGCTGTGAGCAATGCCGAACTCTACAGCCACACTTGTCACACTGCGGCCTTCCTCCAACTTCCCAATGATTCGACCTCGGGTAAAAGCATCCAGATGTCGTCTAACAGATTGATTATTCGCCATTTCTCGCTGAGGCAGCAAGTCGGTGTGATTTTATCTGCTATACGGTGTGCAATCTCTTTGCCAGAAATACTGATCTTACACCGACAACATGCTTTATACTACTCAGACACTCCCCCATTACGTCTACCTGCATATCTGCGCATTTGCTACCATACATCACCTTACTTAATCTCCTGATTGGTCTTTCTGTCCGCTCTGCCTCTTCGTTCAGCTGATATGCTAATTTTTCGACTTCGTCCTTAATTTTTGCACACCAGTGTATTTTATCAAAATGTCAGCAAATCTAGAATCAGATGGAACGTTAAAACATGTGCTGTATTCGCAATACACTAGGCAAAATAGTGCATACATTGAAAATAGAAAAATAAATGCAGTGTAGCCTTTGCGCCTTTAATATTAGATAATTAACGTTTAGTTTAATATTTCTGAAATTACTTATTTACTGGAAGGTTAGTCACACAATCCCATATGTCCCACCCATGTTGGAATGCCTGCTTATTGCATTACATCTAGCATCTTAAACACACTGATTCTCTAGTGATTCGTAATCAATGTACTATATGTTTTACAAATAACATTCTACGACGGCCACAAAACTTCCTGTTAACATCAGTGGTTTTTCTATGAAGTGAACAAAGAACATTATTAGTTTTCAAATGTAATATGTATCCGATTATTATTATATATATTAAATATAGGCTTTTCGGAGATCATAAATTTCGACTATTTACTGGGTTATGTTAAAAGATACGTCTAGTTATTCCAGAAACTTAAATTTTTAACATATTAACCTAATAAAAATAATCTAATAAAACATTTTATATTTACTTATTTAATTTTGCTTTTGAAAACAACTTCAAAGGAAATTGTCTGCTATTTATGTTCTCGCTAAAATAGTTATGTGTTTCAAAATTTAATTACATGATGATTTAACTTGTTACACCATTGATAATAAAATAAAAATCTCTCACCTGTGTCCTCAGTATTGTTTTTAGACCAATCAGGCAGCTCTTCGTAAATAGCTTCAGAGTTTAAGGATGAATATATGTGTTCTGAAGCCGTGTCTTCTGCACCACTGGATATAGTTACGACTGTAGCCCCTGTATCACTGTACCTTCTGCTCTCATAAATGATTTGACAGTCAATCTCCGACGAGTTTGATGTATCTCGTGCAGGCAGTGTATCATAGTTGTCATCCTCAACTTTATTTGGGTAACCATGCGTCCATTCAGAAAGGTTGTTACTTTTTAAATCCCGAGGCACATTTACAGTGGTTAGGGTAGTTTGAGGAGACCTCTTAGGTGGTAAAGGAGGTAAACTACTTGGTAGTGGGGGAGGAGATGGAGACTTCTGGGGAACGTATAACAGTTTGCTGTACACAGGACCTTCGATTTCGGCAGAAATATCTTCTTCCTCTGATGACAAACACTCTGGGTTCTAATGAAATTAAATATACATTATAATGGTGAATAAAAATGCAATAAACATAGCAAGGCATAAAATTGTCAAAATTATTGTGCTGCAGAACTATATTTTTTGGAATTAAAATAATTTTTATTAAACTATCCCGTTTCAGCCATTATCATTATTTGCAACACATTATATCGCGTATTAAATAAGATTTTAAATAACTTTTTTTTTTTTAATTTTCTGATACATTAAGGATTACGCTTGCAAGGAGAAAAATTCTACAAGCATTCGTTTTTATCTTGCCAGTTCAATTTCATTAAGTTCAGATTTTAAAGATAAAATAAAATATTTTTTTTAATTAGGATCTTATTAAAAGTTTAGTCAGTACCTTATGATCCAGCTCCACTTGAGGACTTAAGGAACATTCTTGAGATTGCCATTGTTCAAGTTTCAATAAATTAGAATTGGGAATATCAGCAGCAACATTTGTGATTATTGTACAGGTAATAGATGGTGAAATATTTAATGATTTTTTTACTATTCGGTCATTTCCTAACATATTTGAAATGCTGTCAGACTTCTGAGTTTCCCCAGAAACGGTGCTAGTAGTATCGATAATCTTCAGAGTTTCATTATTTAAGTTTTCATCCATTGTCAACGACATATATGAAGATTCTGAGGAACTATCATCTTGAAGTGTTGCGATATCTATTGCAGTATCTTGATAAATATCATCAGAGTTCGAATCATTTGCATTCAGATGTGTTTCAGAAGTAGAGTGGTCACCAGAGTCTGTGAAGGACTTCCCCCGCGGAGAGGTGGTGGCCTCGAGACTAGCGGCGGGGGAAGACACCCCGTTTTTTGGAAGCGTTGACACATTTTCCCTTTTGAGAGAATGAGAAGAATCTGAAACAAAATAAATAAATAAATTAATTAACTAAACACTAAAACATTCTTTTTGGTATTCGATGTGGATGCCTCAGTTAGGCCTAACATAGCAATAGCTAAGTCTAAACGTTGTCTGAGGCTAATTAATCGCAATCAATAAATATTACTTTACTAATCAATAAATACTACTCAATCAATAACTCGCTTTATTTGTACATTACTTTATGCACAAATAAAGCGATTGATAAACAAAATAAGTTCTTTTCCTCCCTCCCACCAAAGAAGCGAAAATTATCTATAAAATTAAAATATCTAGTTAAAGATAGTGCAAAAGTCTATTACATTCAATGTACTGACTAAGATGAAGCAGGATCTATAATCAGAAGGTCTAGGCTAACACCCCAAGAATTTAAGATGCCTCCGAATCAACCAATAGTTGGAGGTTGGTTGATTCGGAAGCATCGCATTGCTTTTATGACAGAAAACCAACATATCCTTGGTTTTCTGTCATAAAAGCAATATATGAGGCAAAGGGGTGCCCAAAAAGAATTGTATGCCGAAAGCACTAGATTACCCGATCTGTAGCTTATTTAGACCCTGACATGTAACTTATTGTTTATTTTAACACGACCGTGCGTTTTCTAAATTGAAGTTTTATTCATTTTACCTTTACAATCACTTCGTGCATGTCATTAATGTGTTTTCTGCATCACTTATGTTCCTCAGCATTTTATCGTTTTAATTTCAATCTAGATGTATTTAGTGGCTAACACTCACTAAGAGCTTGGCTCAATGCAACAAGCCTATAACCTGAAAAAGCTAAACTACACAAATCCTGCAGGTATTCATTCGAAATTACCATCATTCAACTATATCTACGTATTTGGCCCCAGAAAGAATGCTACAAGTATAGCTTAGCGTGGACAAAATTGTGGTCTGAATTAATCTCCCCGTATTCCTTCCTCAGCTAGAATCGCAAATCAGTATGATCAAACACACGATCTTAAAAGGTTGGGCTATGTTGTAGCAGCTGTCTGCTAAGCATCTGTTGAAGTCATTGTTATGAAGTGTTGCTATTCTTTGGACTGTTATATTATGTACACAGGACTGCTTAAGCTCTGAATATAATTAAGGTCAGTGGTAGGTTTGGAAGATAAAAACGTAGAAGTCACATTTAGAGAAACAAAACAATGTTTAGATGAGATTAGTACTTAGTAAAACAAGGCAGTTACGGCTTACTATAAGAAAGCTAAAGTCCCTAATACTATATCGTCTTTACGGAAAATCATTTCCGGTTTTCAGCATTGTAAAAATGATTGGTAAGAACACGTGTTCGAATAAAACTATAATTTTTGTATTCCAAAAACCCATTTATGAGAATATTGAGAAATAAAAATTCGCATCAAACATATAAATCATTAAAAATCCTCGTATTTCTAAATTTCTGCAGACAATGATTGTCCCAATGCAAATTATTATTACACGATGATGCGTTCCTGAATGTCTTAAGGCTCCAAAATAAAACAAATTTAATTTTTTTAACTCTAGAGATGGCGGTTTATTCTTGGAAGAAATGCACATCCCAAATATACAATTGACTAGATTGTTGAATTGCAGAAAATTCAGTGGTTTTAAGTACCTTGAAATTCTGATTTACAGACTTCATTCATTCCTAAAGTTAATTCGTAAATCAAAACAATTTTTCTCCCGTAGTAACTAACGTAAAAATGAATTAATCCGTTGCTGGATCCCAAATGATTGCTTGGAAAAACGTACTTCGACTGTAAGTTCGTAATACGAAATCAATTGAATTTCTTAAATATAATTCATAATATTTAACACAATACTAAACGTATAAAAATAGGAAATCTGAATTAAATTTTATCATATCTCTACGAAGGAAATTTGACGATATAAGTATAAAATGATGCAGAACCTAAAAGCGCAAAATATTACTGTTTGAAAGTGATAGCCTGTTCTGCAAAAATAAAAGGTAGCTGCTGTCTGTTTTTTATGTTTCTCTTTCTATTAGCTCTACCTGTGAATTGCTCATTTTGTCTCATTAAAAATTTGTCACTATGATTTATGTTTGTCTGAGTTTTAAAAAGTTCCCAAAAGAAGGCATGACATTGTTTAGAGTAAATATTTATGTTCCGGCTTACTATTGCTTTATAAGGGTGATAATGTTTTATGAACCTTTCCATTTTACCTACTTTGCACAAACGTTCGCGGATCAGTTAACTAGCAAAACCTTCCTTTCGTCTTAATCTTCTAAAGACATTTCTTCTACTGCATTAATTGCATTTTCGAATATCATTTGTTGCCGGCTTACTTGCTCGCATTTCGTGACATCTTCCATCATGCAAGATATGTTTTGATTGCAAAATTTATTTCTAAACCTATTTCTTCACGATCCAAGGCATTTGTGAATCAAGATTAGACATTAGGTAATTTTTGGAAGCAGAAGAATTGAAAAATGAGCAATCGCTTTCGCCGGGAATCGAACCACAGACCTCTGAAATACCCGCTCAGTGTGCTGACCACTGCACCACGAAGGCACTCGAGGAAGGCGGGAAAAATACATTATATACTCCCCCTTTTAAAGGGCGATTGGGGTCTTTAGGGGACCCAATCGCCAAATCCTGGATGAGGAGAATCGTCATCCAACACCCTTTAGTTCGGGCGCCACTGTAGAGACATTAGGATATTTTAAAGCAGGCAAGATGAAAAATTAGCAATTGCCTTCGCCGAGAATCGAACCACGTACCTCTGGAATACCGGCCCAGAGTGCTGACCACTACACCACGAAGGCACGCTAGGAAGGCGGGAGAAATACCTTATAAGTCTAATAGCACTTGAAGGGGAGCTTTCCTTTTAGCACAGACCTTAACCTCTTAGCCTGCTAACAGAAAACTAACTATGAAGGGCACCAAATGTAATTTTTAAAACAGTTGATATTAATAACCGAATGTATCATTTTTCATATCGATTTTTCGTTATTATATTTCTCTGAGATAGTGATATTATCGCTCCTCCCACTACTAATTGACTGTCCCTACTTACTACTAATTGAGATCCTGTCATTCTAAAATTGATTAAATTAATCATAAAAAAATACTAATTACACTTATTATTATTTCGGTTGTGTGTTTAATTAAACATTCTAACTGATTATCTTCCAAATTTTGTTCACAAGGTATGTGATAGGCAAAAAGGCATGTTCTACATCCGAAGATTTTAATATACCGGTTTCTCTTTCTCTACTGTATGTGAGAAATAACTTGCATTAGAGATATAAAATGACTTCAATGTTTTACGACTTGCAGTAAAACAGATCCTTTTTTGGAATTTTCCTAAAATTAAACAATGAGCTTAGAAGCCAGGAAATCAGAAAATTCCCAATTAATAATATTTTAAAATACTAAATATGCTCATACTTTTCATCACTTGAAACTAGACTCTTATTAGTAAACCCGCTACCTTCGTAAATTGTACGAAGCGACAGTTATTTCCTCATGGAGGCATCTCTTCACGCAAGCGGGAGAAAGGACAGATGTTAATAAAATGTACACTTATGGCTGTGCAAAGTTGAGTAGCAGATGGTAGAAGTACTACAGACGAATTGCTTCTTTTTTATGTTTGCTTTCGGAAAACCAGTTCATCGGGCAAAGTCTACAATTCTCTTGTCCTGCCCATGACCCAATTATAACAAGAACCAGATCTGCCCACAATACGTTCTTTCGGACGTGAAGGCACTAAAATGAATTTCTTTTAACGGTGTTACTTTCAAAATAAAGAAATACCTTCCAACGACCTTCTTATTTGAAAGATCTCAAGTCACACGCAATTCAGTTATTGGGTGACGAAATACAGCAAATAGATTTTCAAAAAACCTTTTTGTTATTACTTATGAAATGGAAAAAACTAAGAGATAATTCGGAAATCTATTCACGAATAATGACGTTTACAAAGGAAAAAGGAACAAGAAAGTTGGACAATGTTCTTTAGTTATTACTTTGAGAATTGGTAATGCAGGAAAGGACTCTGTTAAGGAAAGGCTGGTATATAAAATATGCATGCTTTCAAGTTTAATCATGTGAGCTTTTTATATAATTATTTTAATATAAGTCACATTGCAAATCAATTTAAACTGTAAATAAACTTAATTTCAAAAGGAAACTTGAGTTAATTTGGGTTAGATCCCAAGACGCAATTTGTTCAGTTTTTGCAGGCGCAAAAGAAATTTTTATATATTTTTTTTTCCAATGGCAGACTTTGAACAGTTACAATTTTGTAACAGAGTCCATTAATATATACTAAGGCCAGATGTGGCGGTCTCTTTATTATGGAGGCACCTAATATGTGGGCCACCATTGCCTCCTATGAAGGGGGGTGACGGACAGTTACAACAATGCCTTCTCTTTTATACCTTCTGGGAGAAAAAGCTGGTTGAAATTAGGTAAGAGGACTAAAGTCGCTCAAAATTCATTCTAGAAGGAATGTCGGTTTTACAAGGGTCTACCACTACAAGGAATCATTCAAAATTTCTTTACACAGATTAGTAACTAAAATACTGACTTAGAGAATAAATACATCGATGGGAAAAGGCTCAAAATATCGACATAGCAAAAAAATCAAGATTGAACATTTTGAATCACACAAAAATTTTTGGCTTGTAAAAAATCAGCATTCAATTCAATCAGATATCACAATGCTTTCTTTTTTTTTTTGTATCTGCAGATGATTATGTTTCGGTGATTACATAACAGTGATATTCTGTGTAAAATATTATTACCTTAAAAGCTGTAATTAACAGTCTGTGTTCCCATATTTTTATATCTGTAATATTTAACCAATACACTGTACGTATGATAAATTTTAGGATTTATGTAAAATAATTCGCAGGAATGTCATTTTGCCAAGAAACCATTGAACACAAATAGTTTCTTTCCGGTTCGATTCTGGTAATGGATTCTGGATTCTGGGGACGCTAATGGTGTCATGTATATAATATTGTTGCGTTCTATGGGTTCCTGGATTTGGAGTGATTGATTAAAACACTTGATGAAGAATCAAATTACAATTTATTCGTCAGTATGCTCAATATAGTTTCAAAAACACGTTTACAGTCGTCGTAAAGACTATGCTAAACACGCTGAAACAATCAGCAACAACACCCTTCAGGCTACGACGGTGAAGACAGCTTCACCACAAAGCACTAAAGTACAGCTTCCGACTCATGCGATCGTTGTCAAGCTAATCTCTGAATTCTAAGTACTACTACTGAAATCAACACACTCAAAGATACTCTTCAAGATAAACTGCTACTCCTCGTACAGGCAGGGTTTATATAGCTTTTGACCTGCCTTCCAGCACATCTGTTGAAAATCGGTAAGAATTCATTCTAGAATGTTATCGCTCCGCCTATGGCATATCGCCAAATTTTACCGCCAGATAGGCGATTTCGCACTAAATATGGCAACTGTCTTTCCTTGCCGCTTTCTGGCAACCCCTAACTCGCTTTGCGAGAAGCTATCTTACCACAGCTGGGCATTTCGTAATAATATCTATGTCTCTGCAGTGGTATCGTATTGCAGACTAGTCTGCATTAGACCTCAATCCGATACTTTTGCGATCTGCGATTATAAAATACTATACATGATTATGCAAAATGAATTATCGATGACGTAATATATATTCTTGAGTCCGCCCAAAGGTTTGAGGGGTTATAACTATCGAAAAAGAACATATTTTTATTCCATGTTTGCGTCTCTTGTAACGAAGTGAGGGGCGATAATGAAGTTGCATGTATTATATTTATGTCTCTGTAGCAAAGCAGTTGAAAAACCTATTAGTTAGTAAATAGGTAATTTTATTATTTTACACATAAACATTTTTAGAAGAAATAACTTTTCCTCTTATTTTCATCGAGAGTAGTATATATCACCGGTTACTTAGCTCATGATAACTATACCTGAAATAATCGTAACTGAGGAAAAGATAAATAAAAATGCAAAGGTTGTTTAGTTACAAGAGATTAGTTATTCTCACCCATACGTTTGGTTCTTTGCAACATTGTTTTCTAGAGCAGGTACACAAATCATGAAAGGACATTTACCTGTGACTGTAGATACTGTTCCTCCACTCACTCTTGGTTTTCCTTTAAGTGAAGTGAGGGATACTTGACCAGGCTTGGATGGATCTCTTGATGTTATTTTGACCAGACCTGGCATTCGTGATGGGTCTTTACCTGGAGGCCGGCTCGAGGTTGAAACTCTGAGATCACAGTGAGAAAAGCTCTTGGGGGTTGCGCTGAGGGGTCTTGGGGGTGGCGGAGCTTTCGCAGGACTTTTTCGAATGTTTGGAGGTGGTGGAGGGGGCTGCGTGGGTCTAGGAATAGTAGGCGTTTTGGAAGTACTCTGAAATAGAATTATTAACAGTTTTATTTCAGTTCAAAATTAATCAGTATTTTCTTTGCTCAAAATACAATTTCTTTTCATTTAGAATAAATTATATTCGAAAAATAAAAGCATTTTTGAAAATTAAAAACTAAATACTAAATTTATCTTTTCTCCTAGAAACATGCATTCGAAAAGTTGCATAACTTTTTAAGTTATAAATACTGTAAATATTTCAATAAAACTTAATGCGTTCGTTTATGATACAATTGGCGAGAGTAAAGAGTATAAACAATACATTATTGCAAAATATCAAGTGCAATTTCGCCTACAAAAAATTAATGCACTTAATTTTGCAAATTTTGAATTTCAGTAATTATAGAGCGTAACCATTTTGGAGGGAAAATGCATTATTTTATTCTTTTAATGTATTTAATATTTATGAAACATGAAATATTAATGAATAATTGGTTTACAGAGATATTCATTCCATGAAGACGGTACGAAAATTGCATAGAACGAATTAAGTTATACATATGGATATTAACTAAAGTTTATATTTATGCACAATCTTCAAATGTAGAATCCTGAAGTCGATATTAATTCTATAGAAGAACTGCTAACCTTATATTTAAATAATCACTAGATTGAATAGGAGAAGCATGTACTATACTTTGATCTGTTTGTTCTGGGAAAAGTGATATGTATGTATATGTAAGATATAATAAAATACGATGGCTGCGTTAAGAAATAATTAGCAACTTCAAAATTAACTACTCTAAATCTTATGTTTTCCCTTTAAGTTCATCTTTTCTCCCAAATTCGAGATCTTTCCAAATTACATAACACTGCTTGCAAAGAGGACTAAAACTTAAAATTAACCAATCACAGCTTAGCTGTACATATGACCCTACCTAGTATACATACTGCTTCGCGAGAAATTACGTCATTCTTCTTAACTTCTCCTGCCATGCAAAATCTTTGCGCGGCTATGCTCAATTGTTCTTTATCTAAAACCCGTATACATAAAAATTATTGTTGCTAACTATATTCTAAAACTACCTTGCCTACAAAAAAGTGATGTGATGTGCATTATTAAAGGACTAAAATTATGTTTCGAAACGGCCAAGTCTGGAAGTTTTTGGTTTATGCATCCATCTTTCTAACTACGCAGCCTCACCAAACGCTAATTCGTTGCAACCTTCTTCAAGTCAAAATATCATATATGTATACGTATGCATTTTTCAATGGCGGGCTCTAGCCGTTAGCTACTACTAGGGCAAGAAGCGTGGTTTCTTTATTATGGAGGCATCTAACAGGTGGGTCCCCATTGTTTCCAACAAAGGGACGGATCAATTATATGAATGCCTTCTACGGGATTCGAGCCCGGGCCCTTCGGTTCGGCAGTCAGAGTCACAAACCATTTTCCCATCTGGGCGGAAGAACAGTAATATTAATTTCTTCAAATCTCAGTTTCACAGAATTTGCAAATCTTTATAAAATTATTATTAAAGAAATAAGTATCCCTCGCTTTTACTACAAAAGATTAAGTGTTCACATTTAACAATCAATGTGTAAAATGCATGAAATACCCCATCCACGCTCCCAAATATGTGTTTAACTCAACCTTTAATTTTGAATGCAGATTGCATAGAATACATTATATCACATACGCAATAATTAATGTTATCAAAATTCAACTTTAATTTAAAACTTCAACAATTTAAAATAAGAAAATAATATAAAATTTTAAATTCATAAATAAGAAAATTCGTCAAAAACTCGTTTTAAAAAATGATCTAAATATATAAGAAGTAATATTTTTAAAAAATATTCTTAAAAGTGACTTCAGAAGAATTGTGTAATATTTCAGTTACAAAGCATTTATAAAATCCGAAGAAATTTAAATCGCAACTGTACATTATATCAGTCTTAATGCGAACTTGCCGTTAATTATTTGCTTCAAAACTATTTTGGAAAGAGGGAAAAAAGAACTAACAGTTTCATTCATCAAATTTGCTGCGTGATTGCAAAAAATAGTAAGCACGTACATTTGTAATTTAAACCTACGAGAAGCTAAAAAAAAATCAGTCCAAATTTTTCATAAGGAAAAATATTTATTCATTCCTATTGTAATAGATAAATTAAACAGAATTCATAAAGATTTCGAATTCTAAGCATCATATAACTCTGCGAAAACACAGATTAGCGGGATATCGTGCCTATTTTCTTTAAAAAAGAATACCGACTTTTGCCGAAAATTGAGTCGTCATTATCCATCCTATCTGTCTACTGCCTTTCACTTTTAGTACTTCCTTCGAACAGAAATATTGTTATTTTTTAAAGACATATGATAGTTGTCATAGAATAGATAAAAATATGATAGTTGTCATAGAATAGATAAAAATATGATAGTTACTAAGTTGTTATCCAAAATTATTTATTTAAAAATACCATTGAATTAAGTACATTTCATCAGGTTTCTAGCAGTTTATGATCTAACACGGCCGACATTTATCGTTACCGTTTTAATTTTCTACAAAAAGAAAACATTGTATTTCCTTCTTATTTTTTAACTTGCCCGTGTGAAATTAAAAATAGTCTATTAATGACCTAGTTACAACTTAAAATATGAAAATACTATTAATGAGTGTATTTTTCACTCAACTAATTTTGTTATACGTTGCTTTTTTGCGGGAAAATACATACTGTATTTCATAATTCTGAAGGTAAATGAAAGATCTCATGCTGTTTGTATTGGCAAGAGCTTTCATTGTACGATTGCTTACTTTAATCAGAGAGGATTTTATATATGCTTTGAAACAATTACATTTATTTTAAATGCTAATAAATAGTAATAAACACCAGTTAATGATATAAATGTACATACTTTTCCCTCTGCCTTTTCACCACTAGTTTTGCTCGGGCTCGCTTTAGAATTCGAAGAAATTTCTTCTTTCTGAGCATTTAAATACTCTTCAACTGTTTGAAAATCTTCATCATTCTTCTTCCTTAATTCGGAGTCAGATGAATTAGGTTTTACTGAAGGTTTTTGCATTGAATCACTGCTAAAATTCTCCCTTGCCTCTTCCCACTCTTCATCAGAAGAGGAGAGAGTTTGATGTTGAATGTGTTCGACAGCTAAGGATTCATTGCTAAGAGACTTAAACTGTACTCTCTTCTTCTTCTTAGTATCTTGCACATCTTGGATAGACAAGATCTGTTTTGAACTGGATGGAGAGTTCGAGTTATTACTATTTGAGGAAGTTAAGTTCTCACCCGTCTTTTTTAGAATTGATTTCACTTCTGCATAAGGATTATGTGAATTCACTTTCAGTGGCTGCTTGGGTTTGATTTCATTTTTCTTCAATATAGGTTGATTACTTTTTAATTTTTCGGTAAGTTCTGAGGCTATACAAGAACTAATGTTATTCCCAGAAAATTTCTTGCTCTGGATTTTAGTTGGGGCATCTGATTCAACGTTTAGATTCTGAGGTTCATTTTCTGGTACTGATTTTCGTACAGAAAAATTAGGTGGTGGTAGTGGAGGCGGTGGCGGGGGAGGTGGTGGCGGCGGCACGGATGTTGGAGTTGTTGAATGTTCAAGATCACGAGACGTCTTTCCACGACTCCTAAGTGTTCCGTCCTCGCTTCCATGATTTGAAATTAAGGAAACCATTGAAGTTGCTTTGCGGACATTTGGAAATCTTGGAGATTCACTGCTACCACGAAGTTCTTGACTTGTGAGCGTGTTAGCAGTTTTATCCAGACAACCTCCACTGGAATATTTCTTTAATGACGGGGAAGATGAAGACGTAAGGGTTGAATAGATGTCATCGTTAAATCTGAGAACTGAATCAGAATCATTAAGATCTCTATCATCATCATAATCTGGTTCAGGGAGTGAATATATGCCATCATCAGAGAGCGAACTGTTGCTCCAGCTACTGGTTCTTGAGTCAACAGAGTTAGTTTTGGAACCGTCTGAGTACACAGATGATGACTGAGATTCGCCAAGACCTTCCGTCGGCTGAAAAATCTTCATTCCATGTCCACCAATTCGAATGCTGGATGCCTGGGAATAAATTCCGCTTTCACTTTCTGAACTCACAGGGCTTGGAGATTTATTTGAACTGTCTTTGTATGATTTGTCCATAACATGAAGCAAGTCTCTTTTACTCTTTTGGGATCCATTCGCAGATTCCTTTTCATTATCGCGCTTTGCTTCAATAACATTGTCGCTTAAATCATCATCTAGATCACTGTCGATGGCATTAGAAGAATCATCCTTAAGGTAACTTTTTACTAAATCATATGCAGTTACATCACATTCTAGAATAGATTTCCTAGATGCGATAGAACTATAAGGATCTTTCTTACACTTTTCTAAGGACTTCGAGAATTTGGACTGAGGAGAAGAAATCGGGGCATAACTTATTACTTGAGGTGAAGGTGGAGCTGGAGCTCGATTTTTACTATGCTTGCTCAATGTATCATATATATTTTCTTGTTTGCGTCGATTGCCATTAAAATTGGAAGTCGGTTGAGCTTCTTCATGGACGGCATAAAGGTCTACTTTTTCTGGAAGTATAGACCTTCTCCTTGATGGAGGTGGTGGTGCAAATCCTCTTGTAGACCTAACACTAGAAAATCCACAGTTACATTTGGTTGATTTCAGTGAGTTTAAGTTTAAAGTTCCAAAAGGGCCCGACTTTTTCTTTTGACACTTACATACAGAGGGGCTGAAAGACGGCGTATCATCAAGAGAAATTGTGCTCGGTGATTTATCTACAAAATCATTATCTTGTCTTTTATTGCTATGTATTTTACTGAGGCGATTGTTTTTACAATTTTTTGCTTCCACATCATTGTTATTATTATTACCATTGTATGTTTCCCAAGGATATTTTACGAGGCCTCTTACTCTGGGATCTACACTTCTGACAGATGCGTGCTTCAGATCTGATGCTGAATAAGATGGTGTATAAGATAATGATGAATCCCAATCTCTGTAAAGTCCAGCAGAAGATAATGCAGACACAGATCCAAATTTATACTTATTATGCCTAGATAAAGTTCCATGCCCCGTAGGCAGAGATTCGTCAGTTTTACTCTTGCTTTTTTTCCAAGGTAGGAAGTTGAAAGATTTTTTACTCCTCGCACTAGATGGTACAGGATCAAGGTCCAGCGAAGGTCTAACTTTTCCTGCTGGATGTCCTCGAACAGTTCCATACAGGTTCTGGTAAGCGTAAGCTTCAGTTGTTGGTCTTACGTACAGAGGTCGACCCTGATGACGATATCCTTCCATCTTCTTACGTTTTCCTGAAAAATAATAAACATATTAAGATAAGAGGCGCAAAGTAAAGGGACAAATATTTAAGTGCAATTATTACTCTTGATACTTAAAATAATTGTAATTATTGAAAATACTGTGAAAGGTGATGGGTGATGATCTGATACATATGTTTTACAAAACATATAATTCTATATAGACGTATTGTTTTGGACAACTTGAGAAATGAATACAATATTTACATATATTTGTATTATTAAGATAGGCTCGAAACGTATTGTTTAGTCTGTAATATAAGCAATAGCATCCCGTTTATCGCTCATGTTGCGGTTCTGATTAAAAATGTGAGAAACGGAGCAGCATTAAATGGGATCAGTTTAACGCTTAGTTAACATACGCAATACACATAAAAATCATCTGGACTTTGCTCTGTTTTTCTCATTAGTTTGGATAAGCATACATAAAAATACTTATTCTATCTTTTTGCTACTGAAGGTCCCAATGTTTCGTAACACTTGAAATCAATAGGATCAATGGTGGATTCTGAAGATAATAAAAGATCAGAAATTCAAAAAAATGGAGGGAAATATACGTTTTAATAATAATACTTTTTCATTCTTTTTATCTATTAAGGGTTTTTAACAATTTTAAATTTCTAACGTTTTATTGCTGAAATATCTTTTCCGAGCAATATTCTTGCAGAACGCGTGCCATTTGTACAACCATTCTGTCTATATTTAGACTAGTTTTGCCTCGGTTAAAACAATGTGAAACAACTGAATAAAAATCAAACGTCTGATTGCTTAAAGGTATTCAGTCTTTCAATGGTTTAAAATTATTAAACATTTTATATCATAAAGTTACAGATTATTGCGAGAAAAATATCATTTTGCACTTTTATAGTAAAGAATTATTTTGAAATTCTAGAAAAATTATTTTGGGTGGTATAATAGCTAATAAATGAAGAACACAAAATAATGCATTTCGTGTTTTTGTATGCAAATATTAGCATAAAATAACACATATTATTATGTTTCTGGTTCAAATTCATTGTTATACTGCGACTTCAAGAGGAAAGCGAAACAAGAGATAGCAGAAACAGCAAAATGTTTTTAAAGATAGTGTAAGTTTCAAACAAAAAACTTCATTCAGTAATTAATTTTGAGTTCTAAATTTTACGCTGAATGTTTCGTCCATTTATCAAGTTACTCTTTATCAATAATTAAAATTATTCTATAGCACTGATAGCTATGGCCAAGGACCTTATCGCAGTCTAAATGACTTTTACTCAATCGGCGCATCTTTTCGATCCTATTGTCAGTTCTATAAAAGGTCAAAGATTTCAATAAGTTGATTTAACTTTTATCCACGTAAGGCTTAATATAATAATTACATTGTGTACATTTTAGGCCTTCTACAACTTTTCAGCTTTTTATTTCAATATTTCAAGAAAAAGGAATATTTACTGAACGTGACAAAACCTTTTGAAATTAAAATGATTTAATCCTATATTAAAAAGCATTAAATCCCATATTATAAAATCTCACGAACTAAAAAAAGTTAATATCGAATACACATCCACTCGCAGACTCCAGTATGTTACTTCGATTTTTTATCATCCTGTAAGAATTAGACTCAGAATCTGTGGTTAATGATACATCAGAATCACTCAGCATCACCTTTTCACCTCTTTTTTTTTAACATTTAAAGGAGAAAAAAGAACCACATATCGAATGTACGCAGTCATATGTTCAGTTTGGGAGAGAAAGTTACAGTTTGTACTCTCAGGTAGTTTGTTAGTTTTTTACTTTTTTTAAAGCATATGAAAGCAGAGAATCTGTTTCCGATTGCACAGAGTGCGATTACTATCTAATGATGCTAAGTGCAAGTACTGGAACGTAAGGCTAATTGCTAAAGGAAAAAAGTGTAAAGGAGAGGAAGAAAGAAAATTTTGGAGGCTTTGCTTTTTATGACTTTCGGTAGAAACTATCTGCAAGGCTAGTCAACTGTCACATGTAGGAATTCGAGAGCTATGCGCGGTGCAGTGCTTGGTACGTTTGAAGCTCAGAAATGCGATCAGAAAGAGATCAAGGAAAGAGCAATTCAGAATAAGAAAAAATTTGCCTTCGAAAAATTTCAGATTACAGTCCAACACCTCAAAGAATACCAAAACTCAAATATTTTTTCCCAATGGCGGGCACTTGCCTATAATGGCATTGGCCACTCCTAAGGCCAGAAGTGGTGGCCATTTTATTGTGAAGGCACCTAATAGGCGGCCACCGTTACCTACTATTGAAGGGACAGACAATTTTACATCCATGACTTCCCCAGGATTCGAACCCCCGCCCTTCGGAATCGCAGTCAGACTTCCCTAAACACTATACCGTATTGGCTGCAACTCAAATATTAAAAGATTAAATATGCTTTTTGAAATAGCTAAAATTTAAGAAACAGAAATCATTATATTAAAAAGAAAGTGCAATCTGATCTTCATACGTAGATTTCAGATTAAGTACTTGAAACAGTTTCGAGTCTTCCAGTTACGGTAGGTATACTAGTTTAAAATTAGTACCCGAGAAATTAAAGATATAGAGCATAAATCCTTATATTTAAACTGAGCTGTTTACAATGGAGAAACCGAATGGGAAAAAATACTATGATATTATTTAAGTGTAAATTAACACCATTGTGCATTTATTTAATAAAAACACACATATTTATACAAGGCGTAAACATGGGTTTATTTCAATGGACCGCTTACATACGAGACTTGAAGAAAAAATTTTCCGCTGATGTGGAAATAATCTGTATTTTAATGGAATACGAAATTCACAAGCTGAAAATAGTAACTTTCAGAAAATTAAACTTCTAGCTAAATCATCTTTAAAAAAATAAATAAAAAACCATTCAGTGCTTCATTCAGAGGAAATCAGGAACTTAAATATTTTGATATTTCTCACTTAATTTCCAAAACTTTTCTAAAAGTGGAAAGTTATTGAAATTTTTGTCACAGAATTTATTAAATTTACTGTTTATTAGGACAGTCATTTTGTGATAATTACCTTAAAATATCTTAAAAGTGGTTGGTACAAAGTTATGATACTGTATATCTTAGATTATATTTGAAATCTTTTGATGTAATTTAGCAAATATTTTTGCCCATTTACAGCTATGACGTCTTAACAGAAAAACAAACAGAAAACCTTCTTGAACTAAAACTGTAATTTTGAAGTAAAACTTAGTTTAAACATATTTCAGCTTTAATAAAATGTTGAAGAGTAATAGCATTAAACCGATGAATCCAAACATTGGTCATTAACTTTTATTTAAAATCATTTTCATTGTTCTGTGTTAGAGTTAAGCTCACAAGCTCAGCATATTGCATGCAAAAATGGTGAACCCTGAATTTCTTGCTAGCAATACATGGCGAAAATAATAAATTTAAATTTTAGAAGATACCTTATTCATAGTAATCATCAAGCGGAAGCATGATGCAAATGTCAGATTGAGCTAAAAGAAAAAGCTAGTAGGAATACCAAATAACTTTATGTAAATTTAATGAAATATTATATACTTACAAAGAGCCCTAGAAATCTAAACATTTTGTTTTAAATTTTAGTTTATATTTTACCGATGAATGGCGATTCTAGAGTGAGAACAGAATGAGAAAAAATAAAATAAGATAGCGTTTATTTCATTTGCAAGCATATTACAGTATTATTAATAGTCAGCGGGAAAATACGGGTGATATGCAAAGTATTCCATAGGTTCGACCCCCCAATGGCGATGTCTAAGTATCGCTGGAGGTGTGCAAGTTAGGTATGTTTAAGTATTGCTAATATTGTAGCAGCTTATCGCGAAGTTTCAGTGATGCGTAGTCTTTTAAAAAAATTCAAATTTGCTAATTTTTACAGTTATTAAGCATACAGCACCATCTGAAAATGAAAATATGAAATACAATGCACTTGGTGCTCTTTCTACCCTCCCCAAAACATCATTTCAATCCTGTGATAAGTCTATGATAAATCTTATAGCACAAACGTACTCTGATAGGTCAATTTATTACTTGAACATAACTTTTTTCTAAAGAGTTAACATTTAAAATACAAGGTCTATTAAACTTTGAACTGCCAAAAGTAATTACTGTGGATTATTCGAAATGATTCGGTCCCCACTACTTCGGATAAATGGATTTCTGTTGCATTTCGAGACTGAGAGATAAATTGAGTAATGTTGAAATATATGAAATAATTATAAATCTGCTAAAACTCAGGAAGCAGATTTCTGCGCTGATAGAGATAAATATAAAATGAAAGAATGTATAGTGAACAAGATCACAAGCGATATTATACGATAATAAAGACTTTAGCGTCTTATTGATAAGATTTCAGCTAGTTTCTTGCTGATTCAAGTATAACCAAATGAATTGAATAAATCAAAATAAGGCGTAAGAGAGATTTAGTGTTCGTCTTAGAAATCTCTATTATGTTACATATTTCTGCTTTTCTCGATCCTATAGCCGACTCGTAATCAGTTGTTACAATAAAAAAACATCACTTCAAAGAAAAACATTCTTTCTCATCCATATGTTTCTTTCTTACCTTTTTCCTTTTAGTTATTAGTGGCATTTACTTTGACTTTTATCCATACATTATTATAGACTAAAGAGATAATTACAGGCTCTTAATACTCAACGCTTTTTTGCTTATTTTTGAAAGAGACGGAAGAGTTGATTTGCAGGTCTTTTTAATCTGGCTCTAAACTGTTCTTCTACCGTATGGTTATAGACAGAAAGTAAACAAATGCTTTAAGAACATATTTAAGGCTCGTATGTATTTTTTAAAAATTAAACTAGTCCTGAGGCTTGCCTATTGCTCAAGATCATAAAAAAGTAATAAATAAAATTGAGAAAGTTCTTTTACTGCAACAATAAAACAAACTCATAACAGCATTCAGAGCACAGACGTTTAATGCTTTTAAGGACCATACCAGGCATCATGCATTTGATGCATCTGACAGTTTCACAAAA